CACAGCTGATGGTGCAAGGGCGGGCAGGGGCTGGGGGTGCAGGTGATTTTAGGGCTGTGAGCTCATCAGGGACAGAAGGAGTGAGCGGAAACCCCGGGGGTCCCCATTGGCTTTGTCATCCCCTTAATCAGGCTGTTGGAATTTTCTAGAATAATCCTTCTTGGGCTCACTCCCGGCCCAAGCAAAGAGCTTGAGGCATCAGCACTGAGCCCCTGGCCGTCCCCTCAGCTTGCTCAGAGACCTGTGATTCCCCAAACCAGGACGATTGGGGTCCTCCAAGCCAGGCTGGCCTGGAGGGAAGACGGGTTCCCCCTGGGGAGGAGAACTGCGGTCTCCTGGAGGAATGTTCCAGCACCTTCGTGGTCACCCAGGTGGGGGGCTCTGAGAGCTATAGCGGCTGGGCGCGTAGACAGCCTGAGGCTGCCACCGGCACTGTCTGCTCTCCTCCGGGGGGATGAGAATGTCCGGGAACTCTGGACAAGACTGTGTGCCGAAGCTTGGCCATCGGGGCCTGGGGCCCTTCTGGGGATCTGTTGACCCCCATGGACTCCATCTCAGAATGATGTTCATGCAAGCTTAACCTGAACTAGATAAGATTACAAAGGAAATGATGGTTATTGGAATACAGCTATCAACTTATTTCAAACACTTGGTGATCGAGGAATACGGGTGCTCGTCTGCTACACCCTAAACACAAGGTGATGCGTTTAAAATCGAGGCAGCTTTGAAAGGTTCACCCAGGAGGTAGTAGACGTAAGTGTTTCATCCCTTCTCGTGGCTGAATGAATATTATGTGCAGTGAAAGTACCAGACACAGAAGGTCACAGGGTGTGTGACTCTGTTTAGAGGAAACGTCCAGGACAGGCAAATCAGACAGCCAGAAAGTGGGTTTGTGGCGCCAGGGGCTGGGGGAGGGGGATGGAGAGTGACAGCTCGTGGGGACGGGGTGTGCTTTGGGGGGGTGAGAAGGCTCTGGAACCAGATAGAGGTGGTGGTTACACAACGGTGTGAATGTGCTAAACGCCGCTGAGCTGTTTAGTCTAAAATGGTTAAAGGTGATTCTTGTGTTACTTGAATTTTTGCTTCAATGAAAACTGGAGGGAAGTTGGAGTTGGATTTTGTGTTGTAGAGAGACGGGTGGCAGGTGTGTTGAACGAGGTTGTGAGCGGCGGGTGCACAGGCCTTCGGCCGGATTCACTGGGAATCCAGTCCGTCCTCGCTTTGGGGTCCAAGTGGTGCAGCTCGCCGTGCGCAGAATCGCTCAGAATCAGGTAGGGGCAGGCCGGTCTCCGCTTGCTTGAGGGCGAGGCTGGGCCTGTCTCTCTGAAGAGCACGATTCCTCCAGGCTTTCTCGAGTGAGCCTCCGCCGTTAAGAACACACAGCCTCACCACGTGGCAGCCGACTGTCCTTGGGGCCTAGAGATGCCCCAAGCTTGGCCACACTGGCGGGAGGGGAGGGGTGTGTGGGTCTGTGGCAGCAAGACGGGGCGCTATCTGCAGCTGGTGGTCCGTCCAGACCCCCGGCTTCAGGGAGGGCACTGCCCGCCGGCAGGGTCTCACGGTCTCCGCGGCTGCTGTTGTGCCCCTGAGGACAGTGTGGCTCCTCCTGGCCACGTGGTCACACATGTATGGTCTGGGCGGACTTCGTCCTCGAGGGGGGTGCTTAGATTCAGGAAGGGTGGACCGAAAAGGGGAGTGAAGCATCTTCCCCATCCAAGGTCCGGATCCCCTGAACACTACCCGGGGACCCCCCTGGTCTACGACGCCTATCTTAGCGCCACTGAGATATAAGGAAGAGGACCTTACAGAAAACAGAGTAACTTGCTGCCTTCCCCTGGCTTGAAAACGTGACCTGGCTGTGCTCCCATCCCGTCCCCAGCCGGCTGGGGCTGCCCGCTCTTTACTCAGTGCCAGCTGCGTGCTCACAGGGCGTGCGGTGGCTTATAAATCTTGGGAGGAAAGTCGCTTTGGTACACGCAATTTCATGCCGTGTACTGTCACCCGTAACGGAACCAGAGCAGATGCAATTTTACTGGAATAAAACTTAATACAACCTGAACAGAACGAGAGAGTTAATAAAATCTCCGTAGAATAAAGCTGAATGCGACCTTAAAAGAATAAGTCAGTGACCTCTCAAAAGAAGAGTGATTAGAGCTTTACTATAATAAGAGTTAATACAAGCTCACTACATAAAAGCTAACACCATCCTAATCAGATAAAACAATACAACCTTAATAGGACAAGAGTTAATAGAATCTCAACACAACAAGAGGTTCATCCAACGTTAAGAGAATAAAACGTACTGCAACCACATAGAGTAAGAGTTCGTAAGATCTTCATACACAAAGAGCGAGCACAGCCTTAATGCAGGAGCTCATACAATCATAACAGGGTAAGAGGCAATGCACACTTCACAGAGCGAGAGTCAACACAACTTTAACAGAAGAAGAACTAGTACCATCTTGAGAGAATACACCTTAACACATCCTTAATAGAACGAGACTTAATAAAACCTTAATAGAAAAAATCTGGATACAACCTTCACGGAATGGGAGTTAATAACATCTCAGTAGAGCAAGAGTGACTGCCATCTACTGTGCCAAGAGTTAACGAAACCTTACTACAAGAGCTAATGCCACCTTAATAGGGTAAAACTTAGCAGCCTTAATACAGCAAGAGTTCATGCGACCTTAATAGGATAACAACCAGTAGTACCTTTAGAAGAGTAGATTCAATCTTAATAAAATAAGAGTTAATGCAACCTTAAGGGAATAGGAATGGATACAATCTTCACGAGAGTTAATATAAAATATAATCTTAGTAGAGGGAGAGTTGATGGAACTTTAATATAATGGTTCTCAAGTGGGGACTGTGCCCCCGGGGGCACACTTGTCAGTGTCCGGGGACACGTTTGCTTGTCACAGCTGGGGAGGGGGGAGGGGAGCTCCTGACATCCGGTGGGTGGAGACCAGGGATGCTGCTGCACACCCCGCAGTGCCCAGGACGCCCCACATCAGAGGTTGATCCAGCCCCAAACATCGGTAGTGCCGCTGCCTTAATAGAATAACAGTTACTAGAACCTTAAGAACAGGATTAGGAATTAACACAATAGTATCACACTCCCCTCTCCCACATGCATTTGGAGGGCTTTCCAGTGTAATCGTGGGTCGGGAAGCAGCAACTTCCCTAGCTAACATAGACACAGGTCTTATTGTTACGCTGTTAAAACAAGCCTAATCGTAAGTGTGGGAAACACATTGCCTCAAGAGACCGTCTCTCCACTGCACACCTGAAACTTAAGACGACACTGTAAACCAACTACACGCCAGTAAAATTTTTTTTTAATTTTTAGAAATGAAAAAGAATAGATAAACAATAAGGACCTACTGTGTAGCACAGGGAACTATACTCAGTATTTTGTAATCTATGTGGGAAAAGAATCTGAAAAAGAATGTACACGTGTATTCTTTTATATATAACTGAATCATTCGCTGTACACCTGAAACTAACACGACATTGTAAATCAACTCTACTTCAAAAACATAAAAATAAAAATTGTACCCGAAATCTAGGGTACAATTGTGGAAAAAAGAAAAATAACTGTCTCTCCTTGTGGGGCGTTTATGGATCCACCTCTCATGGCCAATATTATCCCAAACCTTGTGTGCGAGGGGAAGAAAATGCATTGATAGTTTATTCATTTTTTTTACCCTTTATGTATTATTTGGAGGCACCCTATTCACTTCTTTAGATGGAGAGAGAAAAAGAGAAAATAAACCATCTTAAGACTCTTGACACCAGCAGGTAGGGAGCACCACTGACACCTTAAGGAAAAAAAAAAGGACTGCGTATATTTCCTTGTTTGGAAAATGCAAACAATGCAGAAGGAAGAGTGTAGAATGAAAACGCAGAAGGCCCTGTCTGTCCCCCATCCCCCGAATTTCTGCTCCCAGGTGACCAGTGTGACCAGTGAGGGACAGAGAGAGGATTATAGGATTTTGAAAACTCACGTGTGGCTTCCCATGGTTGCATGTGCCCCTCAATATCCCTCGGGCATCCCCTTTGGGGACCTCAGAGTCCCTCACGGGGGGTGTGCATTTCCCAGGACAGGTTCTTGCTGTTCCGAGCAGGTTCCGTGAAGAGCTTCTGTGGACGGACAGGGCGGGGGCAGCTGCTGCAGACGCCTGGACCTACCAGGCTCCCACACCTTTGCTCCTGCACGGCTGGCCAGCCCATGAATGACCCCCTTGGCCCCTGCCCCTAGGGGGACAGCCCCCACCGGGCCCTGGCGCCCACCCTCCCTGGGGACCGATCCATCCACTCCCATGGGGCAGGATTAGGGCTGAAACAGCAGGAGCAGTCTCTTCTTGGGTGCAAGGTGGAAGCGTCATTTAAAAACTGTTTTTATTGTGGTAAAATAGACATACTATAAAATTTACCATTTTTAAGGGCACAGTTCATTGGCATCAAGTCCATTTATATTGTTGGGCAACCATCCCCACCATCATGTCCAGAACTTTCCCATCTTCCCAAACTTTGTCCCCATTAAACACTGACTCCCCCTCCCCCAGCCCCTGGACCCACCATCTACTTTCTGTGAATTTGACTCTTCTAGGGAACCCCGGTACGTGTCCTTCTGTGTCTGGCTTCTCTCACTCAGCATCATGCCCTCAAGGTTCATCCGCATTGTACCTGAATCAGAATTCCCGTCTTTTCTAAGACTGAGTCATATTCCATTGTTTTTACATGGCATTTTGTTTATCCATCCATCCATCAGTGGACGCCTGGGTGGCATCCACCTTTTGGCCATTTTGAAGAATGCTTCACGTGAACACACGGGTGTCCACGCTATCTGTTTGGCTCCCTACTTTTGGTTCTTTTGGGTCTACACCCAGCAGTGGAATTGCTAGATCCTATGGTCATGCTACGCTGAATTTTCTGAGGAACTGCCCTGTTTCCCTGAGCACTTCCAGATGCACGCTCCCTCCCCATGATGTGTGCGTCTGAGTGTGGTTCTTAAGAGAATTAAAGCTGAGTCTGGTTTCTGCCGTTGCCCCGAGGTTCTCTTCGCCGCCTGTGAGCTGGGAGTCTTTGACCTTCTGGCCGAGGTCCCGGAGGCCCTGGGCTTGGCTGCAGTGGCTGCACGTCTGGGCGTCAGCTCCCGGGGGACAGAGCTACTGCTGGATGCCTGTGTGTCCCTGAAGCTGCTTCAAGTGGAAGTGAGGAGAGAAAAAGGTAAGCATCCTGGCTATTTTGAAGGAGGCATTTTAAAGGTGCAACCTCAGCACTTTTTTTTTTTTTTTTTTTCTGTAAAGGGCCAGAGAGTAAGTATTCTTAGCCTTGTGGGCTGGCCACGTGGTCTCTGCAGCTGCCACCCATCTCTGCCCTTGGCGCACCCAAGCAGCTGGAGACAAACAAATGGGAGGGGCTGAGTGCCAATAAAACTTTATTGACAAGACAGGTGGTAGGCCAGGGTTCCAATAAAACTTTATTAACAAAAGAGGTGGTGGAACGGGGTTCTAGTAAAACTTTATTGACAAAATTGGGGGTGGGCTAGGGTTCTAATAAAAGTTTATTGATAAAACAGGTAGTGGGCCAGGGTTCCAATAAAACTTTATTGACAAAAACAGACAGAGGGCCAAACTCAGAGAGCAAACGCGGGATGTCATTTACCAGCTCCCGATCTAGAGGTTTCCTCAGGCTGGTGTATGCACTGGAACCCCGATGAAGTATCCAAGGAACAAGATAAAAATGTGAAAAAAAGAAATCTCAAGGGAGTAATTTTCCATCAAGCTGAACTGATTCAATTCAGGGGTTGCCATTTATGATGAGAGTGTATTATTTTGGTGTTGAAGCTGCTTTTCTCTTATGGAAGATGGTGATGGTAGGGTTTTTTCTTCTTTTTTTTAATGTCCTTCCTTTGCAAAATTCAAAACTGTCAACCCTATGTCGGTCATCCAGATGGTTTTTTAGAGTTTTGTCAATCCGAGAAATTGCAAAGTGTAGGGACTATCCCTTGATAGAACAGGAGTGGGTGGCCCAGAGGTGGGGGAGGGGGGTAGCTGGTGGGCTTTTTTCTTGTAGCCGAAGGACTTGTGTACCTGTTGGATTTCTGGGGTGCAAACAGCGCGGCCGAGTTAACTTGAACAGGAAGATATCATCTGAGGGGTTGATGGTGCTCAGATAGCCCGGCTTGGAAATCAAGCAGGTGCCAGCCACACCACGTGAACAAGCTTTGCAGGTCCCCCTCCCGGCCCCCACTGGCAGCACTGCCCCTGAATGCCCAGCCCATGCTGAAACCCAGCCAGGATACACCTGTGGAGGATGCTGGATGTTCTATGGGAAGCACCTGGGGGTGGGAGGAGCCTGTGGTTCCCGCTGACATGCGGCCCAGGCAGGTGAGGATTTGGGCAAGCGCACAGGCTGGGAAGCCCCGTGACGGCAGCGTCCACTCCGGCTGTGCCTCTGGGGTCCCCGTGGAGACCCACAAACATTGGGCAGGTACGCATTGTGCAGGAGAAATGAAAGGCTAGATCCTTCCTCCTCGTGAGCGGGACAAGCCGCTCCTGTCCTAGGAGAGACGCCATGACCAAGAACAGGACCACGCCGGATCCCAAGCACCACAGCTGGGCCCCCAGGACAGGCCCAGGCACCGGATGAGCCGTTCGGACATGTGGCCCCGAGATGCCCAGGGCCGTCCCCCCTTGTCGGGGGCTGGAGGGATGGAGTGGCTTAGGGTGCAGCCGGGGAGCACGGTGCCGTCTGCCCCGGGGGGCTGTGGGCGTCCTGCCCCTTGTGGAGATGATGGCCCCACCAGGCTCGGGTCCCTGCTGCACAGCTGAGCTCACCCAGAAAGCGCCCCTTTCTCCCCTGATCTTTGTTTCCTCTGCAGGAGTCGGGCTTTTGCCCCCATATGTCCATTTTAAAATCAGGCGTTGCTTAAAGGCCCGCAGACTGTAATATACGTTTCCCTCGGGCTCGTTGGCTGTTCACCGCGCCGCCGGATCTTCCCATGGGATTTGCCGAAGCTGAACCCAGCAGGTGCGCCTGCTGCCCACAGGTCAGCCGGCCCTTCAGGACGAGGGTCCAGCTGTTGGGACTTCCGTGGTCCCAGGCAGGAATCGCGTTTCCATCAAGGTGTTCCCAGTGCTGGTGTCGGCATGTCGGCGATGCCTTGGTATCTAATGCGTTTTGGGTTTTTTTCCCTCTGTTCTGTGTGTTTTCAGCTGTGTATGAAAACACAGAGCTTGCCAGCACCTGCCTGGCCAGAGCCAGCCCCAAGGCCCAGCAGGACATGCTGCTGTACGCGTCCAGGACCACCTACCTGGGCTGGGGCCAGCTGGCCGCGGCTGTCAGGTGGGTGCGGTGTCGGTGGCGCTCCTGAGTCCCAGGGCTGCCTGGGGGCTGGTTTTCAGGGCATCCGAGGAATCGAAATGCCGGGTTTCTTGTAGAACCATACGCGACGTCATTAGATTTGGGAATCCGGAGCAGATGTGTGAGGTCACCTGGTGTCGACTGACGGGATTACTCTAATGATGTCGTGATGAGAATCCTTGTGCTTCAGGCGTCTCCAGGGGAAGCGGGGGTGCCCCAGGGCAAAGCAGGAAGATAATCTGGAACATACGGTGGAAAACCCTGCGTGCTGCTCTCTGCGTGTGTGATGGCTGTGCCGCACACCGGGCTTCTCAGCCTCACCCCACTGGCATCTGGGGCTGGGTGACCCTCTGATGTGGGACGTCCTGGGCCCTGTGGGGGGCAGAGCAGCTTCCCTGGTCTCCACCCGCCAGGTGCCAGGAGCACCCCCTCCCCCCAGAGCGACAACCAACAATGTCCCCAGACATTGACAGGTGTCTCCTGGGGGCAAAATCAGTTGTAACTGGGAATCACTACGGTAGAGATAGATGGATAGAGCTATAGATAAGTGATAGATATTGATAGATCAATATTATTAGATAAATACTGATAGATAAGTAATGATACATTATAGATGATTGATAGACAATATTGCCAGTTTGATAGGTGATTGATAGATATAGATATTGATAAAATGATAGCTGTTGTTAGGTGTAGATAGATGGATCTATAGATACGTGAATCTATAGGTAGCTGTTATTGATAGATAAATATTGTTAGATAAATGCTGGTAGATAAGTACTGATAGATGGTGATCAATAGATGATATATATTGACAGTTGATTGATAGGTAATACGCGTAGTTTGACAGATAGATGGCGATGGATGGACAGTATTGATAAATACTGATAGAAGATGATAAATATTGATAGGTGGGTCTAGATAGATGATAGAGAGATAGATGAATACAACAGCCCCCAACCTTTTTGACACCAAGGCCCGGTTTCATGGAAGACAGTTTCTCCACGGACGGGGCGAGGGGGCTGGCAGGGTAATTCGGGCAGTAACGCAAGCGATGGCGGGATGGTTCAGACGGTAATGCGAGCCGTGGGGAGCGGCGGATGAAGCTTCGCTCGTCTGCCCCCTGCTGTGTGGCCCAGTTCCTGACAGGCCGGGGACCGGTACTGGTCCGCGGCCCAGGGGTTGGGGAACCCTGGCTGAATAGATAGATAGAGAGAGAGACAATAAGTGATAGCTAGTGGAATTATAATAGGTGACTGATAGAATCTCTGATGCTAGGTCAGGGTTTCTCAGCACGACTGACATCAGGGCTGGGTGACCCTCTGATGTGGACGTTCCGGGCCCTGTGGGCTGTGGAGCAGCTTCCCTGGTCTCCACCCACCGGGTGCCAGGAGCTCCCCCTCCCCCAGTTGTGACAACCAACTGAAGACATTGACATTGTTGAGAACCGTGGCTCTACATCTTCTTTCTTAATTATTTTAACTTAAACCCCATCTTGAGCCTCCGGTAGCTTAGCCGTGAGAACCCGAGGACCCAGTTCTGCCGCTGGTTTTGGGAAAGATACAGCTCATCAGATTCACGCTTATCATCACTGTTTGATTTCACATTTCTCTTCCAAAATCACACCCACGTGAGACTCACCGCGCACGTGGCGTCGATGCTGTTCTGAGCGTCTCCAGGTGGCCCAGGGCCGGTGCGTAAAGTGCATCAGGGTCGGGCCCACAGCTTGGAGCCAAGGGGACTCTCAGTAAGTCTCTGAGGGAGACCAAAGCGTCAGGGGTCTCATGTCACAACCAGACAAGAGGGCACAGTAGGGGCAGTGGCACAGCAGAGCGTGGACGCCCGTCTAAGAGGTCAGCCCCCCGTCAGCTCCCACAAGTTGTGCCCGCGCGGCCATGGGGTGACGGCCGCCCCAGCTTCCGAGCTTTGTGCTTTACGAGAAGCAGGATGTCGTGATTTCAAGGGGACGCCCCCTGAGTTTTTGACCTTGGGGCCCATTCAGTTAAAGAAGGAAGCCGTGAGGAGCTGGACACAGCCCAATGGACTCCGCCCGAGGGTGCGAGTAACCAACGGCGCCTCCACATCTCCGCAGCCCTTGCTGGACCCTCTGGAGTCGGTCCGAGGGACTTCAGTGCTTTGCCCCACGTGCAAAAGGAGCCTCTGGTTTCGGAGCAACGGAGAGTAACAGGCTTCTTCCTCCTGCCTCGTGCTGGTGTATCTGGGTCCCACGCGGAGGCACGGATTTCTGCTGCTGTGTATTTTTCATCAGTGTCTCCCGAAGATCAGGTGGGAAAGAGATGCCTCACCTGACCGAAGGCTGGGTCACCTCATATCCATGAAAGGAGCAGGGGCTGACTGCGGCCAGACTAGATCCAGGATGGAAGGAGGACACACCGCAGGGAGCCAGCTCACCTGTACATCAGGCAGCGGGGCCCAGGAGGACCCAGAAATCCCCCCCACACCGGCCTCAGGGGAGTAGCAGGAAGCTGTGGGTAGACCCGCTGGCCCTCGAGCTACAAGGAGGGCCCCATCCCCAGGTGCCAGGGGCTGAGTCCTCCTGGACCGAGGCATCGCCTCATTTCACGGCATCTTTACACCGTCTTTAGACTGTCCCTCTTTTCTTCTTTCCGCACATCAGAGAGGCCTGCTGGATGGGTAACCTGCAGCTCTGAATGTGCAGTTACTTTTTGCAAACTAGAAAGGAATTCGTGAGTGTCTTGGGTTACTTGTTTCCTGTTCTGTCTGCGATGTAAGGATAGGGTCTGTGAGCACCAGTGTGCGGTACGTAATGTGCAGTAAAGTCTCAGAACCCGAGTGATGCCCGCCCCGTTTTCAGAGACAGGAGGAACCAGTACCTGAAGGCCTTTGGGGTTCCCTCCGAGGAGCTCTTCACTGCCATCTACAGGTAACGCCAAGCACCTGCTTTTTTTTTTTTTTTGGCCTCGCTGCGGGATCTTAGCTCCCCAGCCAGGGGTTGAACCCGAGCCCCCTGCAGTAGAAGTGCAGGAGTCTTAACCACTGGACCGCCAGGCGGGTCCCAAGCACCTGCTCTGATAGGGTTATGCTTATATTTTAAAATTTTATTGAAGTGTAGTTGACTGACAGTGTTGTGTTACTGTGTGCTGTAGAGAAAACCGACTCAGTTATACACATTTATACAATCTTTAATGTTCTTTTCCATGATGGTTTATCCCAGGATATTGAATAGAGTTCCCTGTGCTCCGCAGTAGGACCTTGTTGTGTATCCATCCTATATATACAAGGCTGCATCTGCTAATCCTGACCTTCCACTCCTTCCCTCTCCCACCCCCCTCTCCCTTGGCAACCACTAGTCTGTTCTCTGTGTCTGTGAGTCTGTTTCTGTTTCATACATAAGTTCATTTGTGTCATATTTTAGGTTCCACATATAAATGACATCATATGGTATTTGTCTGTCTCTGTCTGACTGACTTCCCTTAGTATGATAACCTCTAGGTCCCTCCATGTGGCTGCAAATGGCATTATTTCGTTCTTTTTGATGGCTGGGTCGTATTCCACTGTATATATGCACCGCATCTTCTCTATCCGTTCCCCTGTCAGTGGACAGATAGGCTGCTGCCATGTCCTGCATGGAAACAGAGCTGCAGTGAATACTGGGGGTGCATCTTGGGATCTTTTCAGATTATGGTTTTCTCCGGACACATGCCCAAGAGTGGAATTGCAAGTTCATATGGCAACTCTGTTTTGTAGTTTTCTGAGGAACAGCATACTGTTCTTAATAGTGGCCGCGTCAATTTACATCTCCACCAACAGTGCACAAGGACACCCTGGTTTTAATAGTTCCCGGTGACCCAGTGAAGGAAGAAGATGGATATCCCAGTAGGACAGTGGGGAGCATCTTCCTCTCACTTCCCGAAGGCTGTTGTGGTCCTAGCTCCTTTCACTGCAGCCAACTGGCACCGGCTCCAAGGACGAGGGCGTGGGACACAGATGTGGTTCTCCGTGTAGACAACAGTGAGACTCCTCTGGGCGGGGTTGCAGGCTGGTCTGCTGAAACTCCAAGAGCAGTCTTCTCACGCTGCCTTCCTGGTGGAGAAAAACACCGTGTGAGCCTGCAAGGATCAGGAGAGTTTACTGGGGTCCTGGGGGGCAGATGTCACTCCTCCGTTGTGATGCTGGCGGGGATGAGAAGGAAGGCCGGCCACGCCTGCACGTTGGACACTGGGAAGCTCCCAGAACAGACGCAGGACTGGGTGGGTGGTCGTCCTCCCTGTCTTACGGGATAAGGGGGTGGGGCTCGGTTGAGGGCAAAACGGCAGCGGTGAGCACCAACCCTCGGTCTGGTTTCAGGAGACCCCGCATCTCCCTCCTGACCCAGTACTGCCTTCCCATAGAGGAGGGACGGAAAGCACGGGTCGCCCTTCGGGTAGGGATGTGAGGCTTCAGAAAATCATCTCTGGTGCACAGGGGGTGTCTTTGCCATGTTCGCTGGTAGCAGGTTCCTCTAAGCAAGAGCAGACTTGCAATTGCTCTGCCTTGGGGCCAGCTGGGCGTGAAAACACAAGACAGGAGGGTCTCCAGGACCTGGGACGTGCATGCCGTTGGCGTCTGGGAGGGTCCCCCTTGTTTCTCACTGGGGCGTCCCCTGGAAATGTCCCCCACAGGGACCCACGGGCACATCTCACTCCAGCATTTGCCCATGGCTTCCTCTGCTTGGCTGGTGTCTTGTCTTCGGGTGGACAGATGCCCTGGCACGAGAGGACACAGTCAGGTCAGAGTCTGTGTGGAAGGTTGACATGCGCGTCGGCCCAACCAGGAAGACCCCCTAGATTCCAGGGCCTGTAGGTGAGCCTGTAACTATGGAGACCAGAGTGTGGGTACCACCCAGGTCCCCACCCTGTCACGTCCTGTGTCCGCTTGCAGGTGGTTCCGGGGCTGTGGCCAAGGCGTGCATGTCTCTGTACCCGGGGTCTCAGATCACCGTGTTTGACATCCCGGACGCGGTCCAGATGGCAAACAGGCACTTCTCATTCCCGGAGGATGAACGGATCGGCCTCTGTGAAGGTGGGTTTCCAAGTGCTGTCTATGTCCACGGGGAAACAGATGCGTCCCGGGGGTGTGTGGGAGAAGGTGGCAGTGGATGGTCAGAGTGGGTTCCTTCACCCTCCAAATATACTTCCCCTCAACCTAGAACTGTGAGTCATGACAGATGGAAAACTCTGGGAGGGTATATTGTTTTCTTGCAATTAATTCTTTCTTGAGTATTGTACTGGGTTCAACACTGTCCCGTCAAAATTCATGTCCAGCTAGAATTTGTGAATGGGACCTTATTAGGAAATAGGGTCCTTGCAAATGTGATGAAGTGAAGGGTCTGAGCTGAGGTCCTCCTGGAGGAGGGTGGCCCTACATCCAACGGCAGGGTCCTTCTAAGACACAGAAGAGGAGAGACCCAGACACAGAGGAGAAGCCCCGAGAAGACAGAGGCACAGAGGGGAGGGATGCGGCCGCAAGCCCAGGGACGCATGGAGCCCCCAGGAGCTGAAGGAGGCGGGAAGGACCCTCCCCTGGGGCCTCTGGAGGGAGCGCAGCCCTGGGACACCTTGACCTCACATGTCTGGTCTCCAGGATGGGGGAGGATGGATTTCCTGGTCTGTGGCCATTTCTTACGGCCACCGCAGGGCACCCACACAGGTGTCTAAATCCAGGTCACTTATGAATGACAGTAAATGACATGGCTTGAAGGTAGGATCAGGGGTCAGTTCCTGACTCAGAAGCTTGAGAAGCTTCTCCGGCTTTCTGAGGCTCAGAGACTACAGCAGCTTTGCCAGGAGCTGGAAGGGACTTCCTCTTGCTTTGGAAACGTGGGGTGCGGCTCCCAGAGATGGGCTGTCCCAGGAACTAAGGTCTAACCAGCAGACGCCCTGTACCTCCATTTATGGAGGAAACTGGCCTTTCGTGGTTCTATTTTTCTGCTCGCTCAGAAGAAAAACACCAGGCGGGGATATCATTTCCATCCACTCTTAGACCTGCTGTAATTTCACTATGTAAT